GGTTTAATTTTCCTCAGCTTCAGCTTGAACTTGCATATCAGAAGTTGGTGGTCTGTTCCACAATCGGCTCTGGGCCTAGTTTTCACAGCTGATATTGAGCGTCTCCAGTGGTTCCTTCCACAGATGTAATTGATCTGATTCCTATGCATACCATCAGGTGAGATCCATGTGTATAACCTGCATTTATGTCTCTTAAAAAATGTGTTTGTGATGAATAAGTCATTAGATAAAGACAATATGCAGTATGGGGGATAATCAGCATAATACTGGAAGGGGCAGGGAGCTCTGGTGGCCTATTGGCAAGAAGCTGCATTGCAATCCCAAAGGCTTGAGGTTCAAATCCACCAGATGCTCTGCTGGAGAAGGAGGGACAATCTCCTTCTGTGCCAGTCGGATCTGATTCATTGGTACACACCAAGAAAAAAAAATACTGTTAGGAATAAAACCAGTTAGTCAAGCAAAATGAGGCAATGACAGGTAGATGTTAAGGCAGATACCAGCAAGATCAGGAATGTAGAAACTCAAGTTAAAGGTCCATAAAAAGCAAAGTTAAGCACAGCTTTTAAGACCAGATGAGACACATGGCAAAGGCAGGTAAAGAGAAGAAGTGGCTAAGACTAGACCTTATCCAATCAAAACCATAGGTCATACAGCCCTGCCTTTTAGGGAGGAATTCTCAATCCTTTTAGGGAGGCCTCATAGTCCAACATATGTAGTAAAGACTGTCCCCAAGCAACTGAATTAGTGTTTTAGGCACATGAGAGACTCTTGACTCAACCAGTGATGTCAGGAACAAGGGGCTGTAGTAAGTACCACCTACTGTGGGAAGTCGTACCCAGGGCACTGTTTTGGCTCTTCCTGGCAACTGGTGGGGTCGGTACAAACACCTGACCAGAACTGTCCCAATGGATCTCAAGAGAGCAGAGCTGGAGGTGGAGCTGCTTCATTCTTTATGCGTTTGCCAATATATTATCCCAAGTATTAACCTGACAAGTACAAAAGTAATCCAATCCAAACTCAATTTAGTGAGAGTGAGGTTTTATTAAGTGATTTTGCAAAAGTGA